CCCGAAACAAAACCTTGGCTACGTTCCTGGTCTCTGGACCGACCATATTGATCCATAACCGGCGCATCGGCAGACTGTGAGATCAAGACGTTAATTACGCGGTGCCGTCCGAGATGAGAACGGGGCTCGCGCGGACGTGGGCGATGATTCGAAATGAGATAAGATTTATGCCATCAACTTATCGGTGGCACATCTCCGCAACAAAAGAAAAAATTAAGGTAGTTACCGGGCGGGCGCCACGGCGCGGTGGTCGGAGAAGGCTTCAGAAACAAGTTGTTGGGTCGGTATTAAATTGCAACTTTCTCCGATGCCTCTCACCCCCACCCCATCTGGCCGCTAGGGGTCGAAAAAGTTGATTTAGTGTTACTCGCGCCGTGGATGTGCGTGACCGTGGAGCGATAGCCTCCACCTCCACCCAACGCCGCCTTTTCGAAGCTACTTTTGACTTATTTTTTTTTCTCGCACGGTTTTCAGCCCTTTGCAGCGTTGCTAGCAACATAGAAAAGATGCAAGTATAGGAAACTATGGCACAATTTTTAAAGGTCTGGAAGGATCCTTTGAAAAATCTGGGAATTCGTCTTGTCAGGAAAATGTAGATCTTCTAGCTGCCTTGAATGGAATAATGAAAAAGGGCTGTGGACTAATTTCTGTGCTCAATTTTACCAAAGCTGTACAATCGACTTTGATTTGCTATGATCAGAAAAAATGAACAACAGGAAAAGAAACAATGTGTCATGTTCAATGAGCCTCCTTACACATGCGCGTCGAGAAAAAACTGTGAATGAAATCGCCGAATTAGTGGCTTTCCATGTGATCTCCTAATTAATTATATTCGTGACTAATAATAGTGGCATTTTTACCTTTGAGTGGTAGTTCTATCCCAAAAATTGGTAACTTTCTGCTCTTTACGATAAAAATATGTACCATTATTATTTGTTATGGCTACTAATATCAAGAGTTCATAAGGAACACCAATAATTTGGCTATTCTAATCATAGTTTTTTCTCTCAATTTTTCGTGTCACGTGCCAGTATTAGTGACAAACTAAGCATGCATTGGTTAAAATATTTATTTTTTTAAGAAAACCTGTTTTGTATTTGAGGAGGAGTCCACACCTGCGTGACGAAGGATACAAATACAGTCCCAAAACCTGCTTTTGATAATAATCTAATTGAATCTGTGAGAACGAAAACACACCAACTCGAAAAAATGAAAATAATCAAGACACACACGAAATTGCACAGTAGATAAAGAAGTTAGTCGAAGAAGAAGATTTTTGCTTTCGAAGGACAAGTACTAAAGGATTCTCTAAAGGTCTAAGCTTGAACAAATGCGATAACTTCACTGATCTTTGTGGAAATTGACTGTCTTCAATGAAAATTAAGCATTTTTGAGATACAGAGTTGGTGTGTTTTCGTTCTCACTGATTCAATTGAGAAAGATCCCTATTGTTTTTACGATCGAAACGACGTGTAAGTCTGGCAACAGCGCTTGGACGGAGGCTCGGACAAGGAAGGCAAAGGCCCCTAGTTTGGGGCTCGGAGGGAGACTTTCGGTGTGAGTGCGTATGTCAGGGGCAGTAACCATCGCCATTTGATAAAAATGATATTAATGGCGCAAGCCGAGGATATTTTTCCTCCGTATATAAAATTGAGTTTTCGCAGGAACGCACCGGATTCCTGGCGGGCCCGCGTCGTCGCCGAGACTAATGGCGGCCGAGCACGTGAAATTGCCGTGGGTCAGCTTTCATTACGGGGCCCATAAACATAAGTTATCGCGACGAATTGTAATCGAGACCACGAAAATCTTAGCCCTCCAGGGACGTCAGCAATTCAATCTGCGAGGCTTTTTTTTCTGGCCCCTGTCTCTGCGAAGTTAGTCGCGAAATTGTTGTAAGAGGACTCCAATGGCTTCACGCTCATAGACAGGGTTGCCACGGTCTGGCGAAACGGGGAAATTTCAGGGGATTTTGAAAAGTCAGGGAAAAGCTGGAAATGTCAGGGATAATGACAAAAATGTCAGGGGAAATGACGAAAATGTCGGGGAAAAATTGTCCAGTCACCTATATTTTCTTTCTAGAATGGGTTTGACGTTTTGAACTACAAACTTTGCTTGAAAACTATTTCAAGCAGTCTTTTGAAGCATCTGACATATCCTCAATTGTCGGGAATTTATCCGAAATGTGACCGAGAAATCAGTGAAATGTCGGAGAGTTCCATTCTCTATAATTTGTGGCAACTCTGCATAGAGAGAAAGATTCGGGGGAAAGATTTAGGCCTGCGACTAGGGATGAAGTCAGATTTGCTATTCCGTGTATTTAGTTTTCATAGCAGCTTCGCGATATTTCGTCCTTTCTCTCACGAAAGGACGTAACTGCATATCAATGTCACCGAATTTTCCCCCGCAAATTGCATTTTTACTAAGAAAAACTTAGGCATTTCAAGCTGAACATTTCACTGTTTGTTCTTCCAACCCCCTGCAAAAGCCACAAACATTTTGAGCAGAAATGTCTCGGGGACGTTCCTGTTAAAAATTGATTGTTCGACTCAATTTCGTTACTTCGGGATGGAGTAACTGTCCTTCGTCCGGAAAACGACCATTTCCTTGCGTTATTTCGCTCGTGAAAACTTGGGATACAGGTTTTCTCAACTACCCCTATAACCTCCCTAACGTGACTCGCAATCCTGCATCTGCATGTTTAATGGACAGTACCTAATTTTTTTTTTAGCAGCAGAGCAACTTTTTTTAAAAAAATATTGCATTAGTTCTGTCTGGAAACGAACAGGAATAAAATTGATTGCTCAGAAAAGTCTGGCTTGCAAGCTTGCGTCCAACTTTATCATTCAACTACTGTAGACATAAATCGACTGATTAGTAGGGGGTTTAAGGGAGCAATTCGTAAGACGTCGAAGCTGCTCCCTATGAAAGGGACCGTGTTCGTAACTCCAGAACGCATAGAATTCGAAACCGTCGGATCCCTCCGTGGGGCTACTAGATGTTTGCAACTTCGGCGAATCGAGGCGGTTATTTTGATTTCGTCCGGCGGCACAAAGTGCAAGTTAAGTCCAACTATCAGACTTCAACTTAAACTTCATTAGAGGCAGAGCACGACACCTTGAGCACTTGAAACCGGCCATCGCGGCGGCTTCTGAGAGGGTGGAGGACCATAGAGCAAGGTTGCCGAATTTCAATGCGAAATGAAATTTGCAGGTTTCTCGCGGCGTTGTTTATGTTTCATAATATCGTTAAAATTGAACGAGAGCATCAACACGTTGTGACTGAATGATGTATGAGAAGGAAAAAGTCAACGATGATCGATTATTAAAAGCTTTAAAGTACTCGAGGTAGCAAAGCCTATATTTTCTGACGGAGGAGGATTTTATAGTATGAAAAAATATTTACTTTACCGGAAGGTTAACGACGGTCGGTTTTCGAATGAGGCCAAAAATATCGGCGTGTGCATAATACTGCCGCGCTAAGAAATAACGCCGTATGAACATTCGAGATTTACCAAATTTCCCCGAATAAAACACGTATTTTTGAGGAAAGTTATGCATATACTTTTCCTTGAAATTTTCTTTTCAGATATTTTAGATTTAATCGTGAACAAAATTGACTGAAGAATTTGAGGGAAAACATTCACAATTTTCTCAGTAAATCAGGTTTTTCTTGAAGGAAATATGGCAACGTCTGAAGGCTCATATGGCGTTCTTCCTTAGCACGACAGAATACGTTTTAGTGTTACGTTGTAGTGTTGAGAATATAGTAGCATTTCTCCACACATTATTCGGTAGTATAGGTGATTTTAGGATTAGAAACCTTTAGATGCCTCCAGGAGCGTCATTTCAGACGTGTCTTCGTGGTTGGGGGGGGGGGGGGTGTCAGAACGAGTCAAAACTTTGAAAAGTCTCGCACAAATTCCCTGAAATTGATTATGATTCCTTTATCCCGTGGTCCATTCTCAGACTCGCGAGACGTTCAAATTATCATTTTGCAACCCTGCCAGAAAGAACAGAGACCCGAAAGTTGGTGCCACGTTCGAAAAGGGGCAAAGTTAAACCCGGAGTTGAAACCGTGGAAACTGGCCGTTGCGTTCTTCGTTCCGCCGTCAGCTTGGACGACTTTCAAGAGGACGACTCGTCGCGAATTGAAGTTAATTAGTCTCAATTGATTTTATCCATCAGCCTCTCCGATCGCCTTCCCTCGAGGCGAGGACTCTTAAATCCTTGAATTATTTAACAACCTGGGAAAAGAAGATAATGCTCCCTCTTAACGAGGAGGT